CTCAACATCACTCTGGCCCCCACAGTTTCCCCCATGGCGAGGCCACTGCCCATTGTCACTCATAAATGTTAAACAAATTGTGTGGACTCAACTCTGAACCACTGATACTTTTGAATACTCTCATTTGACGATACGAAAGCAAAATACAATACAAAACATAACAACAAGTAATAAAATAAGTAATAATTCCATTAAGCATAAACTGTTATTCTAAATAATAAATAATAATAATGATTAAAATTAATATTTTCAATCCTTAGACATTAAATCAAATTTTTGTGTAAACAGAAATTAAGAAATAATATAATACACTTCCTATTTGATTTTAAACTAAAATTACTTTATTTAGTTTTATCAAATGCTATCTGAATGCATCTTTACTTAAGGGTATCCCTTTCATAATTTAACAAAATGTCTTTTACTCTTCCGTATTTCTTTTCTTTTTTTTGGTAATTTCAGTTGAAAACTTGTCTGGTCGTTTTATGTGGAGTGGCTGCCCCACCGCCCACCGACTAGACCAACTGATGTGACATGTTGGCTTACCGCTAATTGTAAGTGAAATTAGCGGTTTTTGTTGTTGCTAATGAAAATTGTTTGAGCCGAGAACTTTGCATCATTTGTGGAGGGGGAGTAGAGGTTGTAAGAGCTGGAAAAAGTTTTCCCAAGAGACCGAGAATGGCAAACGGAAGCGCACCGAGCGATTAATCGGATTTCGTGTAATTCCAATCAAAGTTTGACTCACGTTATGCGCATAATTAAAAATTACTTTTCTTCGCTTATTTGCCGTTTCCTCTCGGCTCCCCTCTTCTTCCTTTTTTTTGTGCCAGGCTATGTCGCCATATGTCCAGGCCACGCCCAGACGTTGCGCCCCCGCTTTTTCCCGCATTTCTGCCCGATTCTCCTAACATCTTCGACGAGAAGTGAAATTAATGGCTTTTCTATTATTTTGCACAAAGTTTCGAAGCGCATTTGACGTTGATTGCATTTTTTGCGCTTTCCAAGGACGAACATTACGGTGGGGATGAGGGACGCTGGCGGGGGTGGTGGGTTAGCTCCAAAATGGCTTCCACCAGCGGAATCACAGCTGCTGGCAAGCTTGATTAAAAATTTAGTCCGAGTGCGGGCGTATTAGTGAGTATCTATGTGAGTGCCGCTGATGCCAAAACCGGGCAATTTGCCTGTTTTTTATCCACGGATTCCCATTAACCGGCGGAGATAAAGAGAAGAAGAAGAGGGCGGGGATTAGTGGCCAGAAATGGCAACCGCTCTCCACGGCATGGTCCATCATAGCCGCATATGTTCCAACGAGTGACTCTAGTTTATGGTTTGATTTATGCGCTCCAAGGTGCGGAGGATCATAAATCCCGATAAGAAATTCTTCAAATTGCTTTTGGCACAAATGCACTGCAGAGAAAAAGAATGTGGCCAAAACAGAGAATAAGCTCGAATGCGGTTGCGAATTAAATTGTAATTTCTGTGGCGGGAAATTTTTCTAAAAAAAAAAACTGGTTGAGAATGTTGACTTACTGATGATATTAAAATGAACAACTTTAAAATAATTTTTTAATGCTATGCTATGCTATGAATTTAAAATTTTGGAATCCAAAAAAATTGTTATTATTATTAAATTCCATTTTAGCTTAATATCTTTTTAAAGACAGATTAATAAATTGAGATTTTGAACATGTAATCTGATAATAAAACAGCTATTAAAGCGTTTGTAATACTTTAGTTTTGATTGCCAGATAAGCTTATTTTACATGGCTACTATACTGAAAACAACTTCGTAATATCCAACCGGTCATCAAGTTTTATCTCCGATCTCTGCAGCCTATTCAAAATGTAAGACGGTCTGAGGAAGGAGGGGATGCAGGCCAGACATGCAGCCAAGCCAAAGGAGTGAGAGAGGGAGAAAAGCGTTAAGTTGCACAAAATGAACTTCCTTCCTGTGCTGTCTTCCTGTCGCGGCTGAATGGCCGACTTCCACTAGCCACTCACAATCCGCCCAAAGCACGCTCCCTTCTCCTAGGATTGCAGCACACCCCTTTCTAAGCGTAACCGCCCACTTGGCTGGCAAAAGTTTTTCAGAGTAAAATCCCAGACGGTCCGGTCGAAAACCTCAACGCGCCAAAAGAACCAACTAAAAGTGAACCCTGGAAAACTTTAAGCTCACTTTATCCTTTACATATAGAGCCGTCCATCTCGACGCCGTCGAACAATACAAATGGCTAGAAAGCGTTGCGGCCCAGACAGGATTCCATGGCCTGGACAGGCCAACCGGGCCAAAAACAACCAAACCAGTTAATTTCCAAATTGTGAACACTACCAAAAAGTGCGACAGACCCCTGGGGAGCCGGGAGGTGGTGCATGGGGTAATGGGTGAACTATGTATGAGGTGGATTGGTGGGCTTAGAATTGAAATGATTGCATTAGAGATGGGAACTTAATCTCCAGATCATAAGGGTGAATAGATTATTAACTTTTTTAAAGATTCCACAATTGATTACCACCAAAGTCAGTATAATTTATAATGAAAACTCATATTTAATATATATTATTCTCCTGCTTATTTAAAGAAAAGCTGCCTAATATAACTTTGATATTCTATTTCCTGCTAATTTAATGGTAAAAACCTCCTTCAACCGTGAACCCTTTTTATCACGTTCCCATCTTTAGGCCGACCTATGGTTTCGGCCTGATTTGAAACGCCGCAACTAGTTCAAAACTACACAACTCGGTTGCACCGCAGCCCTGCCACTGAACCATACTATACCCAACCAAGTGAGTTCGGGCGTAGAGCGGGTCTGGTTTTTTGGGCTCGGAATCGCATTTGGCGGGCGGAACCGGGAGCGGCCAGGAAAAGGGGAGCAATGAATTGTGTAGGCCAAGAACAACACAGGCAGCTGGCCACAGAAGCCGATGGACTGGTCAGAGTCGAAGTCGCGGAGAGTCGGAGTCAGTGCTCTAGCGTCATCATTGCCAAAGCATAAAACTTGTTTCTGTCTAAACATGGAACCCGCCGCCAGTGGCACCCAACCTCCCCCTTTTAGGGGCCCGCTTGCAAGCCTGTCTGAAATATCTTCCGGCTTGCGACGGCAATAACAAAAACAACCACAACAACGACGACAACAACAAAAAGCACTAAGAAAGAAACAGCAGCAGTTTGGACGCAGTTCCGTCGACGGCTTGGGCAAGTTTCCCATTGTTAAAAGGTTTCCCAAAAAAGAAATAAGCAGCCGCTTTTCCAGCTCTCGCTCCTTGGGTTGCAACAAACAACAACATTTTTCCCATTGTTGGGGCCTGCATTAATATTGTGATTTAGAAATTACGAAATTCTCCAGTGGCGGATAAAATTGAAGTAAGCCGGGGAATATTGCGACCTCAGCCGGCAGTCCGTGATCTATTGTTGCTGTTGCTGCTGAATCTGCGATAAATTTTATTTGAAAAAAGAACGGACAATGGGGTTAAATGCGGGTTGACAAGTAAAAAAGTGTTGCGATAAACAAAAAAGGTCGTATGGTTTTAATTGTTATATTAAACTTCACCATGTTAATTTGCTATTAAAATTGCAATTGAGTTGATAACTTGATTTTACCCTCATTTAAGTTAAACCTTTAATCTGATTATTACTTCTTTATAATTTAATTTATTCACATGACTCACTCATAAAAAAAACAGCACTAATAATATCGAAAAGATAAATATAGAGCGACGTAATAAGTTCACCTTCCAATCAAAACATCATTAGCTTTTACGAGCATAGAGAGCAAATATTAACACAAACATTTGCCGCATAATCACATTTGTTTTGCCAACTACATAAGTATACATATGAGCAATCCCCATCAGCTCGAACAACTCATTAGTTAAATTAGCGAAAGATTGAACTCTCGAAGGAATTTGGATGGCTAAAGTTCATTGCCATGAGGATCGGCAGAGTCTTAAATGAGGTTTATGGACCATTAAAAGATCATCAAGCGAGCGGAGGAGATGAATCAATTTTGGGCAATGGCAATGGCTCAAATCAAGTTTGCGAAATGCTCTCGAATTTGGGTTACATTGCGACCTCACCAGGTGCTAACCCAAAAGCCCACTTAGCCGCTTGACTTGCGCTCCCCCGTTAAACACACCCAAACAAAAACCCGTACTTGAACAGACAGCCGGGGAGCAATTCATAATTAACATAATTGAGGCAGCCGCCGTTGGATGTTTTTGTGCTTTGATGAGCAGAAAGCGATGCCCTGTAGATGATGAGAAAGGAGGCGAAGAGTAGGTTGCTGTTGTGGGGAGAGGTGCCAGTTGCTTTCCAGAGGCGCTTGGCAGAACAACGATGGATGACGACCCATAAAAATACAAGGGGCCCGGATTTGGAGGGAAAGGGGTTAGCGGGCAGTAACCAAGCCACCAAGCACAGCAGCAGGTGGGCGGGGGGTGGTTGCTGGGATGTGAAAACGAAACAATATGTAATTTCTACGCAAAAATGTTTTCTCATGGCCCGCCTGACTGCGGAGGGCGTGACACAACAGCAACAGCATGGAGGAGGAAGCAGTACAAGAATGGCAGGCACAACATTGACGTTGATGTACTTACTACCTACAGTGTGGAATGGGCTTGAGGAATTTTTTTAAAATTTCTGCCAATAAAGTTTTTAAATAATTTATTTTTAATTAGGTACATTGCTGTTATTTATTAAAAAATTTAATGAAACGCAGTTATTAAAAAAGCAAACCAAATCTTGAAGTTTTATATATAATATCTCTTAAATTTATTTACCTAAAAATTTTATGCATTTTGAGCCTTTAAAACCAAACATTTTTACATAGAGACAAGAAAAACGAAAATAAGAAAAATAAATTAAATTAATTCAAAGGTGAGTTCATTGAGAATTATATTAAGCTACTCTGAAGTCAATAAAGAAATGATTTAGTATCAAGTTTCAGAGCATCATCAAAGACTGTGGCACTTAACCAGGGTTACCTGTTCCCTCCAAGTTGACTTACCCGCTGCTTCTGCTGTTACTGCTTTTCTCGAGGGGGTCGAAAGAAAGAATTTCGGTGACCCGGGCTTGGCGGCTGCGACGGCCTCCGCCGGCTGATGACGCTGGAATGTGGCCACCAAGGCTCCCGGAGCTCTTCTTGGGCTCTGCTGACGTCGCAGTTGCGTTTTGTTTTTATCTCGTTCTTTTTTTTGCCTCCTCCAATGCCGGCTTAGTTGTTGCTTTTTGGCTTTTTCTCTGGCCTTTTGCTGCTGACAAAGGTGATGGCAATTTGTTGTTGTGTGCTCTTCTTCGACTTCGCACCTCGCAAACTGCCGTTATTCATTGACGAAGGGCAACGCAAACACAAACACATATTGGGAAAAGAGAGGGAGAGAGAAAAACACAAACACTCAATATTTCAGCAATTCAATCATTCACATATTTTTATTTTTTCTATTTAGCAATTATGCACGAATTATCTCACGGTCAACTGGTTTTTTGGTTTTTTTACTGTATTGTACGATTCGAATTTCGAATTGATGGAAATGCAAATAAACGCGCAACGGGCAGAGAACATTTTCCGGGCCAGAGTAAAAGGAAAAAGAAAATTCAAAACGGCACGCGACGCACGTACTTAATTACTTCGTGTGTGTGCGTTTGTCTGTGCAACAATAACAAACAATATAAAAACTCAATGTCAGAGAGCCACCCACACGAACTGAAAAGTCAAACGGACAAATTGAATTTCGGCCTGCAATTTACGCTTTTAATTAAATCATTAAAAAGAGGGCACAAAGATTACGATTACGCCATTTACACGCCATACAGAGCAAAAGTAGTTGCATTATCAACTAGACGTTCGCAGATCAGCTTGATATTTTAATATTTCTTATGCTGAAGATCAATATTAAGATTTTTTGTATTTTAAATAAACATAAATAACAGATATGATTTCTATACGTGTTTGCTATTAATAGCCAGAGTTCAATGATCCAAAAAAATTTTAATATTTCAGTCTAATAATATTACTTTCTAAGTCTTGATAAGTAATTTTTGATAATAATTTGCCATCAATTTTATTCTCTGTGTAGTAGCAACAGTTCAGTGTTTGTGTTTTGTGGCTCAAAAATGTAATTACGCACTCCAATGCAAATGCAATCGACAGCAAATTACATATTTGTAATTGTTTGCAATTGAACTGCTTTTAAAATCGAATAGCAATTAAATTGTTGCTTCGCAAACACGCACACATAGAAACAGAGCCGAAAAAACCAGACGGACCACTACACACACACAAAGGAACGCTGCTGCGCCGACGCAACCGCGCTGCAGAACTTTTCTGTTCCTCATCGTTGCTTTCTTTTACCTTTGGTTATTATCTATTTTAGCATAATTTCATTCACACACTAGCTTTTGTTTGCATTGAATTAGCCGTGGCGGCTGTAATGCGGTAATTAAACAATGCGGTATTTCGAAACACACGCTGAGAACGAACAACAACACCAACACACACACCCAAGCGGGCCCTTCACGCAGACACTTTTATTTAACACGTAAACAACAACAACGCCGCAACGCCGACGCAACTTATTTTTCCGGCAGCGACGCGTCCGCACACGTCCGCTCACGTTCCGTTTCGAAGAGAGAAATTGAAAACAAACAACAGAATCACTTGTTGCGCTCTTGGTGGTGAGACCGTTGCAAAAGCACCACGAAATGCTGGAAGTGCTGGATATTTGCACACATATAGAACGGGCACACTCTGCTAACCGGCAACATGTTGACAAGCTCGCCGGCATGTTGCTGAAGAATTGACTTCATTTGAATAGTAACAATATTCTTTAATATCCCAACCGCATGCGTTTTTAATCCAGCTAATCTTAACTCCGAATGCCGTAAGCTGTTAACCATTTACTTAAATAAGCAATTGTTTCGCTAAATGTCTTATTTTATAATATCTGTTCATATTTGTCTCGTCCATTGCTAATATACTTTTGTTTTAAATTGTAATTCTTAGATATTTATTTGAAAGAGATTTCTAAAAAGTTTTTAAAAAATTGTTAATGTTAAATTGTATTTTTCGTTTGCTTGTTAATTTTCTAGCCTTTTTTATCTACAAATCTGTGTCTCTTCTCCTCAGCGGATCTTTAAACCATTGTTGCATTTCCGGATCGAAACTTGGATGTATGGTAAAATTGCTTCGACGCCACCTAATCGTGTAAGCATGGAACTGTAATCTCTGACATTGTATTTATCGTAGACACAAACCTCGTTGACTTATACATAAACCACAAGAGGCGCCACTTGCTGGACAGCCAATGCCACGTTGCCAGATCATTTATTTTTGTTCAGGCGATAATTTAAACGCTAAAGTTTTGCGCGCACCGTTATGTCCAGAAATTGTGGAAAAACTGATATCCTTTTTTCTTTTATTTTTAGTAAAGGGCTTCAATAAAATTTTAACCCATCACTCCAAATACTTTGAGTTTTATACCCTTCTGAAAAAGAAAATCCCGACCTTTCCCAAAATATTCAAAGAGATAATAGTTTTTTTTAACAAATTCTTTATATTTGCTTGCATTTTTAATTTTTTTTGTTCTTTTTGTGGGTTTTTTCTTTGTTTTTTCTTTTTATAAAACTTTGTTTTAAGTTGTTCTTTTGTTTGTTTGTTTTTTGCGGGTTTTGTATATAAATAATAATACTTATGGCTAGTAATATAGTAAACGTTTTTCGATTTTTCAATTTTGTTTTGCTGCTGCCGAATGCTGCATCGTCTTTAGGCCAAAACGTAAATTTAGTTAATTGATCTGGTTTTTGTTGTTGTTTTTGGACAATTTCCAAACGGCCAAATGTTGTTCGTTTTGATGCTTTTCTTGTTGTTCTTGTTCTTTTTGTTGTTGTTGTTTTGTGGTGTGGAATCGAAAAACTGCAACAATTGCAACTAACAAAGCTAAAGTTACGCTAATATAGAATTTTTGTTTTGCTTCCGTTTCAAACTTACTTATCTAGGAGTTCGCTGCTGCTCTGCCTTAAAAACTAACAATATTTACACTTACAAAAATTTGCTAATAGTTTTGCTTGCTCATTTGTCATAATCATTGTTCATTCCTCTTCTTCCTTTCGATCTCTCACTTAGTTACGAATTTCTTTATGGATTGCAATTACGTTCTTTATCCTCGATTGCTTGCTTGCTTGTGTGTGTGTGTGTGTGTGTGTGTTGTAGGGAGAAGGAAAAGGGGAGGGGAGGGGGGAATTAGGACCAAGGATTAGGATTATATATATCTGCATGCACGTTCACAACCTGAGCATTTAATTAGCATTTAAGATCCCCCCTCCCCATCCTGGTTTTCCCACCCCGTCTCGTGTCCTTCGTCGATTCATCAATACTGCTTGGAATTGCTAGTGGGCGCCAGCAGGCGACGCGACCAGCACGTCGCCCTCCTCCGCTGGGGATCCTCCTTCGTCGTCGTCGTCATCGTCGTCGTCTACAACTGATACTAACTGCCGACCATGATGTGGGCCGGCTGCTCCAGCTCGTTGTCGTGCAGCCGCGATGCGGCCACCACTTGGCCACCGAGTCCGCTCTTGAAGAGATCCTCGGAGCTCAGCTTGCAGCTGGGCACCAGTTCGGTGAACTCCGAGCCCAGGCCGAACTCCATGTCCAGGAAGCCGTACTCCCAGGTGTTCGCCCCGGCCGACACATTCGAGCTGATGCTGCTCACGTACGACGAGGTGAGCGAGTGGGTGGCCGACGAGATGGTGGACAGGGTGGTGAACGTGGCCGTGGTGGAGCTGCTGCCGCAGGAGTTGCTACTGCCACTCCCACTTCCGCTGCTCCCGCTGCTCGCCTGAACGGTGGTGAAGCTGCCGCTGAAGGCCAGCGTGGAGCCGGAGTTCGAGGAGTTGGAACTGCTGGCCGCCGGCACGGACACCGGAACCGCTGTGGGCGTGGCTGCCGCCGGGAGAATGCTGAACAGATCGTTGTTGTTCAGCGGATCCAGCGCCGATTGCGAACTCAGGCTGAGCACCGAACTCCAGTTGATCGAGCGCGTGGAGTCGTCGTCCGCGTAGCCCGAATCGCTGGTATCGCAGTTGTTGTTGTTGCTGTTGTTGCTACTTGCCACGGAGGCTGCAACTGGCGACTGGCTGCTCGGCGCGTTGCTCGAACTGCTGCTCATTACAGTGGAGGAACTGGTGTTGCTGCTGCTGCTGGTGGCGGGGGAACTGCTCAGATTGCTGCTGCTGCTGTTGCTGCTACTTAATGTTGCAGTTGCAATTCCGCCGCTGGCCGCTGCTGCTGCTGCTGCCGCCGATGCTGCTGCCGCTGCTGCTGTGGTCGTGGGGCAGGCGGGAAAGGGCGTGGCACGACCCGACTGCGACTCCCGAAAGGGATAGTGATCGTAGGGATGCAAACTACTGCTGCTCGTCGCCGTTGTCGCCGAGGAGTTGCTGCTGTTGCTGCTGCCGCTGGCCGTGTTGCTACTCGCACCCGCCGCCAATGTATCACAGTTGCTGGGCTGCGTGCCGAAAGCCCCCGCTCCCGCTGCTGCCACGCCCCTGTAGGCGGCAGGCTGGCTCTCCAGTCGCTCGTGGTAGCCATGCGGTTGCGGAGGTTGTTGCTGCTGTTGCTGCTGCTGTTGCTGTTGCTGCTGTTGTGGCTGGAAACTCAGTTGCTGGTAGTGATCCATGTTGGCCAACCGAGCGCAGTTCAAAACGGGTGCGTAATCCATCTGCTGCTGCTGCTGTTGCTGCTGCGGATGCGGATGCAGTGGCGCTGGCGGGGATTGCTGCTGTTGCTGCTGCTGTTGCTGTTGTTGCTGCTGCTGCTGTTGCTGGTAGGCTGGATGGTATTGCGCCGCTTGTGCCGCCGCCGCTGCTGCTGCGGCTGCCGCTGCCGCCGCCTGCTGGTGGTGCTGCTGCGCCGCCTGGTGCAGCTCCTTGGCTTCCGCTTCGATCTCGCGATCGATGCGCTTCAGCGTGTTGCAGATCAAGACGGAGCGGTAGAGCGACTGCTCGGACACCTGGCGGAAGCGGGAGAGCTTGAACATGGACAGGTTGCGGATCTTCAGCCGCGTGTCCTTGTAACAGCTCCTGTTGGCACTGCACCACCCGCCGGCTCTTCCGTCGCAGCATCGCTTGAGTGGCAAGCCATGAAGTGGCAGTCCGGCGAAGGGAACCACGGGTGCCGACGAGGGCGGCGGACTGATGGGCGAACCACCGGTGGCTCCGGAGGCTCCACTGCTGCAGCCCAAGTCCAAGTAGGACTTGCCGTTCTCCGCACAGCGTATCGTTTGCTGTGGCGCCGCCGGCGGGGCATAGGCTCCTCCTCCTCCGCCTCCTCCTGCTCCACTGGCGGACTCGTAGAACTGCTGCGATCCCACCGCGGGATTCGCGGGACTGCCGCCCGCTGTCGCCCACTGCGGCGGTGCAAAACCACGCGCCTGTTGCGGCGTCGGCGGCGGCGATTGCGTCATGTGCTGCGGTCCGCCGGTGCGCGAGCAATTCTGCTGCGGAAAGGGTTCCGAGTAGTAGTTGGGCTGCCTGCTTCCATAGCCAGGGGCATAGCTCCTCTGCAGCTGCGAGTGTTGCTGCGCGAGTTGCTGCTGCTGCTGGGGATGTGGTTGCTGCTGCTGCGAGAGCTGTTGTTGCTGCTGTTGCTGTTGCTGCTGCTGCTGTTGTTGCTGTTGCTGCTGCTGGTGGGGGTGCGGCGGCAACTGGTGCGGATGGGGATGCGGATGCGGCACAAACGGATGATAGCGCATCGAACAGTAGGTGGGTATGGTGCTCTCCTCCTCCTCGTAGTCGTCCTCGAAGTCATCGTCGTCGTCGTCCAGCTCATCGGCACTCAGCAAGGTGGTGGCCAGGGTGGAGCGGGTGGCAATGCTGCCCCACGGATCACTGGGCACGGCGACCGCCTGCAACTTGGAGATGCAATCGACGGGCTCAGCGGATCCCGCTGGTGATCCCGCCACCACCGCCGAGGCAGTCGTCGTGTTGCCACTGCCCGTCCAGGGTTCACAGGGCACCGCCGAGGCAGCCACCACCTCCAAGCGGGCGATGCTGTCCTCCGGGATCGCCGCACTCGCCGTCGGCGGCAGCGGCACCTCCGCCTGACTCTTCAAGGTAGTAACTTCATGACCATTGCTAATACTTGGCTCCGTTGGCTTCAGCCCATCCATGGATGCCACATCCAGCACGATGTGGTTGTTGTTGGACTCGACAGCTGCCTCCGTTGGCGATTGCTGTTGCTGTTGCTGCTGTTGTTGCTGCTGCTGCTGCTGTTGCTGTTGCTGCTCCTCGAGCGATTCCAGGTAGTTGTTGTTGCTGATGGCCCACTTGTTGGCCTTGACGGGGGGCGGGGCACAGTTGCCCGTGTAGGTGGTGTTGGCATCCTTGCTATCGAAGGTCAGCTCATGCTTCCGCTTGGTGGCGGCTGTTGCTTGAAGACCCATCGCGGAATTCACCTGCAAAGCGAAGGAAATGCGAAAATACGTTTAGTGATTTGCCGCCAAAAATGTAAAGCAAAAGGATAAAGTAATACAGAGAGAAAATCTTTGTTGACTTCTACAATCAAACAATATTATAAATTCTACCATTCTTTGTTCGTTCACTTCGATTTGGGTTTTTCCCTCTGTGCATCATAAATTTCCGCACGGTTCGCACGAGCCAACAAAGGACACACAGCCAGCTAAAAACTTATCAAGAAAATGGAAGTCAGGCAGGGACTTGAACTTCCCCACCAAAACCACCCACCCACAACCCCCTCTCCTCTTCTCTCCTCCCTTCCGCCCACTCGAGCCATGAAAATGAAATGGAAAATGCCAGGCAGCAACAGCAACAACAGCAGTCAAGCCAAGTCGAGGCTGTCTGGCCGTCAGTCAGTCAGTCAGCCACCCTCCTCCACCCATCCACCCACTCTCCACCCCCTCAGAACACCACCCCCTCTTCTCCTCTCCTTTCCCGCTAGCATTGCTCATCAACGCTGCTCGAAATCTTCTTAAAATAAAACGCACAGCAACGGAAAGAGAGGGCAAGACCCCGAGTTTCGAGATTCGTATTCGTGTGGGCCGCGACGATTCTGTGATTCTGTACTATAGAGTCTTCCCATTCCGAGTGCTCTGCTGCCTTCCCATCAACTTCCGCCACATTTGCTGGGCGACTTTCCTCCGTTCTGCTCTTCTTTTTTCAAAACTATTTTTGGGTTTTCGAGTTCTGCTCCAGCCATGATTTTGGATCAACACTGCAATGGCATGGGAACAATGGCAGGAAAGAATTTCCCGGATGGCTCTGTACTCCATAAAAAACAGTGAAGAGTACTAAAATATTATAAGGTTTTTGGTTATTTAGTGACCCTAATAAACTGAGTATTGGTTTAGTTTTGCAAGAACATAATTGTATTAAGAAAATTATGAGAATATTATGACTGCTATTTCTATTGAATCTATACTTGATAAAATATATATTTTATTTATATTTTTTTACATATTCTTACAATTTATGTTCTCCATGATCTTGAGTTGTCACAACTTTTTACAAATTTAATACATTATCGATGATCAAACATGAGCTTTAATAACCCTAATCCTCGGCAAACCACACCACCATCTTCTGCCCTAAGTGCACATCTATCGATCGCTGAATCATGCTGGGGATTTGCGACTCGCAATCCCCCTTCTTTTTAAGAGTTGCCACCCTCCGATTGCCGGCACTCTGCCCAAAATTCAGTGCCCTTCGCCGGCAGTTTTCCCTATTGCCCATTGAGTTCTGAGTTCTGAACATCTGTGCGAACGTCGCTCGAGAAAGGAACGGCCTTTGTGATATATCCATATATCCATAAGGGTTGCCATATGCTCGCATATTTGCCGGTGTTGCTGCTGCTGCCACCGATGTTGCCTGCGATGTTGCTGCTTCTGCTGCTGTTGCAGTTGCCTTCAGCATTGGGGGAATATAGTATAGAATATAATACGAGAGCCCGAACCCGAGGGTGAGTTTTCAGTTCTGAAACGCAGTGTGTTATCGTCATCGAGGTCGCTCGTCGTCGTCGTCGTCGTCGTCGCTGAGTCGCATGTGTTTCGCATTTTTCCCCTTGCCACCCCTGTCCCAGCCCCTTCCCTCTGCCACTCGCCCCTTGGCTTCCCTTGTTTGCCTGTCTGCCTCGGAGTCTTGCCACTGCCGCATGTCTCATCATCATCGCATTTCATCCCTCGTTTCGTTTCGTTTCGTATCGCATTTTGGTGTTCTCGTCTGTGCAGCTGTATGTTTTTGGTTCGGTTCGGTTTTATTTTTGGTATAGGGTATAGGGGCTGGAGCGAGTCTAGACAGGCTGGCCTGCCTGCCTGCCTGCCTGCCGCCTGATGATGATGATTTGCCCTTTTGGGAGCGAGCGTCTTCGCTTGGCTTTGCTTTGCTTTCCACGCAGCGAGAAGTTGAGTTCTCGGAATCCAGAAACAGACAGCCCTCTGCTACCCATTGCCATTCCTCTCGAGGGCTGACTCATTGCTTATCGCCGCTGTTGTCGCTTTAAAGGCGAGCCGCGCACTTATGGCTCATTGTTCTGTTGACAACTGGTCGTATGTGTAATGCGGCCGAAGCTCGTTGCGCATACGCCGTGTTCGCTCGAAAGCTGCACCACAAAACCAATCAGCTAAAAGCTCGCCATCCCAATCCAAATCAATTCGCATCAGCAGAGCTTCGCAACGGGAAAAACCTAAGCGAACATCAACCAAAATACAAAAAAAAAAACACATCAAAACAACACACAAAAAAAAAAAAAAAAGGAAAAAGAAGAAAACTTTCTACGCTAATTTTCGTTCGAATGGAGAAATGCTGGCTTGTTGGCTGTTTGGCTGAGTGGCTGACTGGCTGGCCATCATTATAAGCCGCAACAGCACAACAACACAACAACAGGCAACAACAACATTTATACAATGCTGGCCATCATCTTGGGACTGGCTCACTGCTGATGTTCATGATGATGATGATGATGGTTTTCGAGCTGCGTTCGCTGGCAATGTTGCTGGAAGTTGAATTTTATTGCCACACCAACATCACTCAGGCAGTTTCGAAGCGGCAGCAGCAGCAGCAATACACAAAAGCCAGTCCCCCCGTCAAGCGTTCGTTGCTTTTTACCCACCAGCAACATCTACAGCAACAGCAACACTAACGCAGCAATAACAACAGCAACAGCAGCAGCAGCAACAGCAACTGCAATAGCAACAGCAACAGCAGCATTTTACGCTTCGCCAGCAACTCGTTTCAGCTGGCACTGGCAGCGGACTGAAAACAGAAAAGCTGAAGAGGAAGGAGGAGGGGATCGGGGATCGGGGACTGGGGATTGGGGCTCCGACTCTGGCTCCGACTGGCTCCAAATTGACGGGCCGAGTCTAAAGCTCGCACGCAGCGTCGCTGCAGTTGTTGCTGCTGCTGCTGCTGCTGCTATTGCTGTTGCTGCTGCAGTAACAACAACAACAACGAACGACAAACAACAGCAACATCGTCGCTACCTTCAAATTCCACAATATTCAAGTTTCAGGTTATGAGCCAACCGAGCAGCCAGGCAGCCAGGCAGCCAGTCAGCCAGCGAACAGAAACCAACCCAACCTGAGACTCGGAGCCAGTCATCGTCGACGGCAGCAACACCAACAACAGCAACAACAACATAAGCAATAGCAACAGCAACACGAAACGAAATGTTTGCCCGAAAGCCAGAGCCAAGAGCTAAGAGCCAGAGCCCGGGACAACGGCAACGGCAACAACAATAACGAAACGACGTCGTCCGCTGGGGGATACAATGGGCCAAAATCGAACTTTAAGTGGTTTTTCATATTTCCCCACTCTAGGATATAAACTAAAGAAGCTAAATATAAAACCTGCAGATCAGAATAGAATTCATAAGCAAGAAACCATTATTATTAGGTGCTTTAAATTTAAAGTAAAATGGTTCTCATATTTGTAGCGCATATAATATAATATAATAGATATTATATTACAGATCATAAATGAAATCCATAAGCAACAAACAGTTTGGTACTTAAAGCATTATTTATGAATAAGAAATAGCTCAAAATAGTATAGAAAACGAAATAAGATATTATTATTTTCAGGCATACTATTTCTATTCGTATTCATTTTTTTAAAAGATTCCATTTACAAAAAAAATGTAGGTATATTTTACTTTTATCAAAGTATAAGTTTCTATCAATTGAGCTCTAAATTTGCGTTACCAAAACTTCAACATTGTTATGACTGAGTATTTTGTGTTTCTAATACTAATCGAAACTCATCTTCAGCATATATTTTTTCCGATCAATAAACCCCTTTTCGGCCCACTGTGCTCGCTTGGCTCTCGAGTCGACTTGCAGGCATTTAAGTCGGTCGCCGTTGTCGCTACCTCGAGTGCCTGGCTCTGTGGCTCTGGCTCTTTGGCTCTGTGGCTCTGAACCGCCGACTTACTATGGGACTCTGGCTATAACTCTGGGCTCTGACTGCGACTCTGGCCCGGCCCGAATCGACGCGGCCCGGCCCGATCCACGCCACTCCGGTCGGAGCGGGTCTGGTCTGCCGCCGCTCTGGTCTCGGGGCCCCACTTTGAATTCTTCGGCTGGGGCGCACAGCACAACGTGCGATACCAGCGAAACGAGCCGCACACAGCCAGCCAACTAAGAAAGACGAAAAAAAAAATACAAATAAAAACCGAACCGAACGACGTCGAGAAAAAATAACAAGTAGAAGCAAAAAGCCGAGTTTCGGTTTTCGAGCTGGCTCTTAACTTGGTCTTGGGTTTGGGTTTGGGTTTGGGTTTGGGCTTGGGTTTAAGCCGCGATCTCCGCCAAAGCAATTTAAGTGTACGAGCCAAAGAGGAAGAAGAAACTTTGGAAACATAAAAAAGAGCGCTCGGTTCGAGAAGACGACGACGACGATGAGGCATAATAAAAAAAATTACCAGCCAAAGCTGGGGTTCAACCGAGTGAAAGATGAAGAAGAAGACGTACAAGAAGAAGAAGAAGAAGAAGAAGAGGCAGAAGACAGCAGCGGTCTTCTGCGCTGCTCATCATAATAAAAATGAATTGAATTGAAGACGAACCACCCGCTCGAGCTCTCCGAGTTTTCTCATCCGATGGACGTGGATGTGGATGTGGATTTAGATGGGAAGAAGCTCGAGATGTCGGCGATATGGTGGCTCGTCGTCTCTCGGCGTTTCCCATGCTGGCTTAGTTATTTTTCCCTCCCTCATGGTGAAAACTTTGAATGCAAACACCCACAACAATAACAGAGCGCCGAGCTATTTGCTATTTGCTTATAGCGGCACATGACGATGTGGGAACGGAAAGATTCCCGAACCCGGCTTCTTCCCACCACTGCGGTTCAACTTCCATAATTTCAACTGCAGCTACTTAGCATTTCTAATATTCGTACGGCTTTTCTCTGCCACAATTAAAAAATGTTTTCCAAAGTTACAAATTCC